GGAAGCTCGGCGCCCGTAAACCGTGCTCTGGAGTAAGAAGGAAAACGGCTTCTTCCTTCTCTTTCCTGCAGTGAAAGAGGTGAGAGTTTTCACACGGGAACTGGTTTTAAGGAAAATGCAGACGAGAACACAAGAACAAGGAAGAGACATCAACTCTGGCAGGTCAGCTCTGGTCAGCCTCTGGCCAGCCTCTGGCCTCTACCATGTGCCCCGGAGGAGCGCGGACTTGCGGGGAGCTGAACTGAACGTGCCCCCCCCGACCCCCCACCCCGAGAAGCCTCCAGGTCCTGGTTACCTTGATGTGGAAGTCGTTGTCCACGAGGATGTTTTCAGGCTTGAGGTCCTTGTGGATCACACCCTCCCCGTGCAAGTAACGCATGCCCTCGATGGTCTCCATGATGACCCTCCCCTTCACAGAAAGGGGGATGCTAATCTGAAACAAGGGGGGGGGGTCAGCCTTGAGACCCAGAGCTCACAGGGACGCCACCGGGCCACGCAGTCACTTCACCAGAGGGGTGAGGCCCGAACCCCAGCCCTGCTCTCGCTGTATGATCAGTCCCCTTTCAAGAGTTCATCCTGGGCCTCCCTGGTGGCTCAGGGGGTAAAGCGCAGCACCACGAAGCTGTCTGCAGCCACTGCAGCCAGAGTTTGATCCCGGCCGGGGAGTGACCCGCAGGGCGCGGCAGACCCCTCCTGTCTCCCAGTGCTCCCCTCGGCAGTGTGTTTCAGTCCATCTGCCTGTCTTCTGGTGAGTCCTCTCACCACCTGCCTCTCTGACCTGTACTCCGGTTCTTGTCTGCATAAATAAATCAATTAAAAAAAAAAAAAGAGTCCACCCCAGGGACCAAAGGGCACCTTCATAAATGAACAGTACTGTGCGATCTCAGTGTAAAAATAAAACTTATACGCCAATATGGTAGCACATAAAAATGCTCCAGGATTAAGCTCCTCGAGAATAAAGGCGTATAGTTTTATTTCTATCATTATCGTTATGATGGTGATATTATTATTATTACTTAGTATATTAATGCGCCTGGAATGTGTGCTGAATAGCTGGATAGGTAACTATACAATCAAGTATTCTTCATGATATAATATATGCTACTCTATATTCAATATGTGAATAATATGAAAACATATTATTAAGAAATATTTGGGGGAAACATACAGGGAATGGGCTCACACTCATTCAAACACAAAAAATTAATCTGTGAAGGGCCTCCCCGGTGGCCTAGGGGTTAAGTCTCACTGTTATCAAGCTGTCACTGCTGCGGCCCGAGTCCGATTCCCCACCAGGGAGCGACCCCCATGGCGCAGCAGACCTCTCCTGTCTCCCCGCTGCTCCCCTCAGCACATTTTGGTAAATGCACCCCTCTGCTCCCCACTCTGTCTCAGTGAATCCTCTCACCCTCCCACCTCTGGCCCACCCCCGATCTCTGCAAAAATAAATTTAAAGATTTAAAAAGGGCCTCACTAGTGGCATAGGAGTGAAGTCTCACTGTTATCAAGCTGTCACTGCTTTGGCTTGAGTTCAAGTCCCAGCCAGGGAGCTGACCCACAGGGCACAGCAGATCTCTCCTGTCTCGCCCACTGCTCCCCTCAGCAGAATATTTTCAGCCAACCTGCCTGGTCTGCTCCCCACTCTGTCTGGTGAATCCTCTCACTTCCTGTACCTCTGGCCAACACCCCAATTCTTGTAAAATAGAGCAAAGATGTTAACAAAACGGTGTTAACTACAGAATTTACTATAGCTTTGGTGATTTGTTGTAAGATTCTTAAGTCCTGGTAGATTTCCAGGTCATTCTCACTTTAAACTGTATTGTAATTAGATGGACACCAATGTTAACACAGACAATCCTGTTACAGTGGTTAAACGTTAGGTTCAACAGTGAGTAACACAAACTCCTGCGTGTGTGTTTGTGTATACAGTCCCTGGGTTACAAAAGGTTTCCTAAAATTTTATATACAGATATATAATATTTATTTATAATTATATTACAGAACATAGACCAATATATAGCATACAGGATATCATATACATATTATACACACATGTAAGTAATATATATTTATGTCATTAAGTATATATATTTAAGTGACGGGGGCTGGAGCCCTAAGCCAACCCCCCAGCCCCCCAGGCTCATGCCAGCCCGACCGCAGCCTGACAAGCCTGGCCAGCCCCCGAGAGGGTATGGCTTCCCTGGGGCGCCCTTTGGGCTCAGAACAATTTCCCAGCAAGTGCAGCAAGCCCCCTGGGCGCCCTCCCTCCATCCTCCCGACTTTGCTCCAGCCGCGCCTCCCACTCCAAATGCCTCTGACCTCGGCTGGGCTCGTTTTGGGGAGCGGGGCAGGCTGAGCAGGCCTTACCCCCCCCACCTTGTGGGAAACGCCTGACGTAAGAGAACAGCCCCGCTCGCGCCAGCTGCCAGGGGAGGCGGGCCAGGGGAAGTCTGCCACCGGCGGGCAGGCCCCGGCGCGTCCCGCGCAGCCTCTGCTGCGCCCAAAGCCACCAGCTGCAGCCTGCCGCGCCCGCCTACCTTGGCCTGGAGCACGCGCATGAGGTTGCCCTTCTCCATGAACTCCAGGACCAGCGAGTAGTGCCCCTCCTCCATGATGACGCCCAGCAGCTCCACCACGCGGCTGTGCCGCAGCCGCCGCATCATCTTGCCCTCCTCCAGCAGCGCCTCGTTGTACCTGGAGAGAGGGCGCGCAGGTGGGTGGGCCGCCGCCGCTTCCCCTCAGCGCCCCCAACAATCACGGCACCCTCGAGGCAGCCGCAGGGCACAAAGATCTCCGCTGCCGGCGCCTCGGGCAAGGGGCACACTGCACCCTTTACGGGGCTCACTCTCAGTGCCCCTGGGGGTGCCCGCTCCCGGCTGGTCGGGAGCCTCAGGAAAGGGGGTCCCCGACAAGATGGAGCTGCCCGGCTCCATAATAAAAAAGAACAAAAAAATGCAGCCTCCCGCCCTGCCACTGGCCTGCTGGTCAGGCTCAGCGCTATCACCGCGGTGGTCTGAGCCCCATCCCCCGCCAGGGAGGGGCCCAGGGGTGCAGCGGACCCTCCCCTTCCTCATCTGCCGCTCCCTTCGGCAGTGGATTTCAGTAGATCGGCCTGTTCTGCTCCCTACCCTGTCTCTGGGGAGTCGGCTCACCCCCTGCACCTCTGGTCTACACCCGAGCTCTTGTATGCACAAATCTTTTTTTTTTTAAGTGCAGCCACATAGCCAACATGTAAAAAGGCGAGAGAAGGAGAAGGACTGCACCAGCTGCCTTAAAGAGCATCATCCTTTACTTCACCCCTGCAGCCCTCCTGGCGTCCTGACCGAGAATGGGCGCAAGCAGGTGTGTCGCCCTGCCCACCCCACCCCCACCATCTTCTGACACAAGCTATGCAACCTCTATCGACTGACATATTCCAGATGGAGGCGGAAATGCTCTGAAAAATCAGACTTTCCACACTAACTTATGTTATGACCTCCTTTTTTTTTGTATGATCGTATTATCAAAATATTCTGAGCAACCTTCCGCTTACAAATGGATTGCCTCAGCCTCAGAAGGCGCTGCCTGGCCCTGAGAAGCACTGCACCAGGGTGAGAAATTCCTCTGAAGTCAGAAGTGACTTGACAACTGGCTGATCAATAAAAGCAAAAGGGCTGTTACTGCTCACTGCCAGACTGAGGAAAACCCAAATCTTATCATTCTACAATCTCACACAGCCTTCTATACAGTTTCTAAACAACCACTCAAGCTTTCTACTATCTAGTCTTTAGATATGGAAATTCACCCAAGTCCCCTATTCAGAGCTAATCAGGTTTTCTACCATCTAGGCTTCAAGAAAACTCACTTAAAATTTCTAACAAGTTTTTCAAAGAACCTTACCTTACTTTGATTTACAAGAAATTTCCTCTTCCTGCCCTCACTTCACTTCACCCCCTAGCATGTCTCAGTGAGAATGAAAGCCGTTAAGTAGTAGATAAGGTTTAAGGGACTTTATGTTGGTTAATCTTCACTGTGGTAAATATAGTAATATTAGTCTTAAACTTTGTGAATCTTTGTACCTGTTTTAACCTTGATTGATTTTTAAAATGTTATAATCTCAACTAAAGGTACAAAGGACCCCAGACTATTCTTAGCAAAAAGGTGATCGTGATCTCAGCCCATTTCATACGCTAATGTCATCCCCCTGCCTGCTTAAAATGTATAAAATAAACCTCTGTTAAAGGCAGAGCAGGAAGACAGGCACCCAACTCCCATTCCTGTATCTTCTTCCCGCCAGCTCCCCTTTCCCCCCTTTTTCTAGGAATCTCCGCTCGCCGACGCCATTCCGCCTGTTCTGCCCTCAATAATCCGTGATTGGGACAAAGAGTCTCCGAAAATCTTCCTCTCCTCATCCTTTAAACCCCCAAGCCCCTCCTCTCTGGTTTTCCAGCCCCTCATTCCCAGCTCTGGGCTCTGCATTAACCAGCCTCGGAATTCTTGGGGACACTGGGAAATAATAGCCACTCGCAGGAGTATCTGACAGGAAGCTGTGACACCCCCATGCACCACACGGGTCATGTGGCCCCACTGGCTGCCCGGCCGCATAATTCCTGGGGTGGCCCCACCCCTCTGCCAACTCACTCAGCACAGTTGGGCCCGGTGTACACCTTTTTCAGAATCACGAATCCATGGGACTTGTGCAGACACAGGGACACTTCTCCAAAGCCCCCGCTATCCAGATGTTCCTTCTCCAGCAAGTCACTGGATTTCATCTTAATGTCATTCAAGGACATGACTGGTTTCCTTCTCAACGCTCACACTGCCCAGAAA